AGTGATTCGACAGGCAGGCTTTATATGGCTATAGTCAATTATTATCTATTTTTGTTTTTACAATTCCTATGGAACTTGTTTTCTGGAAGAGGAAATGCAAGCAGATTGATGCCGTAGCCACTATGATATTAACTTCCAACAGGAAATACAGATCACATTACTCTTTTTAACTCTAGCAGGTTTCTGATGACTTGCGAGCAACTGAAGCTTGGCCAGATAATACTTAGTTCAAAAAAAACAATGAAAGATTTCGATCAATAAACATTTAAACACTGTATACGACATAATTAACAGCTGACACAAACAAATTTTATTTTGGCGTTTGAGCAGAGCTACATGTAATTACAGATAATATTCCTGACTACATAATACATGTAAAAAATTGATAAACCAAACAACAAATGAGAAAATTAGAAAACTTACATATTGGCTGATCAACACTATTGCGATGTCCTCTCTTGTGGTGAATTCCTTAAAAGCATCTTCAATCTGCTTCACTGTTGTTTCTGAACATGAGGATAGGGAATCTATGTTAATTTCTTTCCACAATTTGAAACTTTGAGATAAAGATGAAAAGCTCTACCACTCACAGGAAATGCCAGCTCCCTATAAACCATCCTTCACTCAACAACTAAATTAGAAGTACTTTTTGAATTCATTACCAATAAAAGGTCAACCGGTTTGGTTATAAATGTTGATTGACTCTATTCAGAGTCTCCTATATTAGTTTAGATGAGAGAGTTAGCAAAATAAAAGCATGTACCATATGCCTGTGGAGTGTTAGTTAATTGGCCATGGAAGTTTCTGCAGCTGGAGTAATTTCTCAGCTGTCAATTCCCTGAGGTTTTTTAAACTTTGTTAGCTACTTTACTTTAGATTAGCCTTTTGTAATAGAGCTAACAATGTCTTTTACTTGTCTATGCTCTGTATATTTTGCATCTTCTTTGATGTGTTCCATGAAATCTATTATCTTATTAAAAAAATGATTCCTACATATGCACTGTCTTTTATTGGATAATCATAGTGTCCAGGACCAGCTTGTGTGCACCTCGGCTTATTCCATGGGATACCTGCCACCTCTCGCCAGCAACTGGTACCAAGTACTCGGTCCACCAAAGCTAGGACAAATAGCGAGAAAAACCTCATGTTTTTGTCTCTGCTGGGATTTGACCTTAGACTTCATGGTTCTCAACCACTCTATTAACCACTAGGCCACACCCTTGGGTGCTAATATGCATTGCTTTCTCTTCGAGTATTTCACAAAGTGCATTTCTTATGGCGTCCTTAAATAATACCTTGGTCTGCGCCCCACAGTGATGCAGCATGCCAGTAGTGCATAGCTCAACAAGAAATTTCCTTGTCCAACTTCTAATGAATCAAGATAGCCGTTTGTTCCAGAATAAATAGTCATTAATTGCTCTTCTGTGGTGAGAAGAGTTGATTGAAATTGTTTAATGAAAAGGTGAACTTTTATATGAAATTAGGTCCAACAAGTTATGTCATTAAAGGTAAAATGGGGATAATAAGACTAACTATTTCCCCAATATGGCAATATCATATAATGAAATAAAACTACACTAACCAAGTGAAATTAAAAAATGTAACTATGCAGAGATGATAAAAGCTATCTACAAAATGAAAAAAAGAAAAAGGGAAAATATTTTATCCTCCACAACCAAAGGGGCATGGCTTATCATGAAAAGGGATGAGAGAAATGGTGAAACAACTTTAAGGAACTGAGCATGACCAATAATTTCTGATATCTGATAACTTTTGGAACAGAGACTACAGCTATAGCCTATAATTGCAATCCCTGAACTTCTGAATTTAACACTGTCGGTGGCTGACATCTCCATGAAAATACCCAACACTCAATGTACTGCCATTGGTTGACTAATTTACTTCTTCTTCTTAAAAATACATAAGGATATGCCATATGGATCTTTATCCACTGAAGCATTCTCTTGTTTCTACCTTGGAAGGCACAGGATATTAAGGTACTCGCTACTCCAGTCCTCATCTTGGACACTGATATCAGAAACTCCCTTTTTAGCTTGAGAACTTCGTTTTACTATGCAACTAAACAGATTGCCTTCATCACCCTCTCTATTTATCCAATATTTTGCACAATCCTCTAAGTTTCACATCACTTGTATCTAATTATTCCTATCAATAGGAAGTGTAAAGATGTATTTTGGGCCTAACTCAACCGCAAAAGCTAGCTTATACGGTGAGGATTATTCAAGTCCATAAAAAAAGACCAACTGCCCATCCCTTTTTTGATGTGGGACGTCTTAACACTCCCCCGAATGCCCAGATCATGTTAACTGGGGCGTGGACAATATATTATGGGGGCGAACATTAGTGAGCAAAGAATCAGGATAGGCTTGACTATGATACCATGTAAAGATGGATCGTGGGCCTAACTCAACCCCAAAAACTAGCTTATAGGTGAGGATTGTCCAAGTCCATATATGGGGACCAACTTCCCATCCCTTTCCCAATGTGGGACATCTAAACAGGAAGCTAGTGAACCAGATGTAGCAGCAAAAATTGCAACAACAACATACTAGTGTAATTCCACAAGTGAGATCTGGGAGGATGGCATGTATGCAGTCTTATACCTACCTTTTGAAGGTAGAGAGGTTGTTCCAATATGTAGCCAAAAAAAAAACTTAACATCTAAACTCCCTCCCCCAAATTTCAAGCTCCTTTGCCCACATTGGTAAAAGAAACTAGCCATTTGGAAGAGAATTTATTAATTTGGAAAATAACTAACCATTCTATTTTGGTGGAGAGTATAAACTACAGCAGAAAGTAAATGAAAGATCCTCAAAATACTGGAGAACTGGTAATTCCAAAATTGGAACTTACTTGAATCCACAATAAGGTAATTTGTTTTCCTCCTCAAATCAACATTGCCAACTCCAGCCAGTAAAAATCCAGTAATTGTGTCCTATACAAACAAGTTATTTTCATCAGCATCAGTATGTCTATATATCATCTACCACGTGTATGTAGACTAACAAGATATTCATCATAAAAGTCCCATGAAAGTAAGTGGGTAGATTCAAAGAACACTGGATAATTAGTATACCAATTTAAAAAGTTGCATACCAAAACGTAATCAAACAATAGATGAGATATATAATTGCTATCCCGTTTCCACAGATTTCTGATCGTACATATGATGCAAAACATATACATGATTACGTCCCAACTAAAACCAGTGCTCCATCAGTCACATCAACTGTAAACTCACATCAATTATAATAACTCGTCCAAACGTCTTCTAATTAGTTCGTGCAAGACAAATAAGGTTATCAAATATGTGACAGATAAGAGTATAATATCTATGCTCAAAGATGACTGATGACCCCAAAGCATCTAGAGAGAGACACACTAGAGAAATAACAACCAACAGCTCATCCGCAATGATAAGCTATCAATGTTTCTATTTCAGGAAGAGAGATGTCATGATTTATTTAGTCTTAATTAGCTTTCATCATTTTACAGTCATCACACTCCTGTTTTGTGTGTCCATCAATTTTTCACTTCTCACCTTATATATAGCACAGTGAGTAACTCCCAGGCTAGAATAGTTTACTTGACTATATGTGACTTAGATACCCCAGAACCTGTTTCCTTGGAAAATCCATACACGTGAATGATTCCAGCACCGAAGTACATGTCCTCTCTAAATAGTGAAAACAAAGAAAAACCTGGTTCGATCCCATTACGAATCGTCTGATACAATACAAATAGAGCATAGACTATCAATTCTAAGCATACATAGCAACACCCAAAGAACAAAAATGCTGAAAATTTCACCTCATCAGCGATCATGGCAATGAGGGCTGAGTTGTTAGTTCTGACAGGAGCTCGGTTAGCCATCTAAGAAAGCAAGGCTTCTGCAACAACAGATAAACTATAATAAAAATATCCATGATTCAGAAATTAAGAATCTTGAACACATTGACAGATTCAGATATCAAATCAAATCTTAAACTATTAACAAACCACCAGCAGAAAAAGAAATCAGATTTAACATAGCTTAAATATTCAAAACCTTGAAAATTTTCAAAACCCATATCTAGTTCCAAAGTTTGATGAAAACCCAGTAAGGATTTTCCTGAATTTTAAGTTCTTAAACAATAATCGAATAAATCAGATCGAAATCCTTTGAAATAACAGAATTGAATGAAAAAAAAAAGCTTCGGAAGTTGTAGTTGCAACAATTTTTTCAAGCTTACTTCGAAGTTTTTAGCTCTGAGGGATCCAATCGGTCGACAGAGACGAATCGAAGAAACAAGAAAGAAAAAAAACTGATGATATTTGGCTATTTGCTGTTCGCTGATGAGTAGAAACTGGAAACAGGAAGTTAAAACATGGAAAGAGTTGAATGTAGACTTTAAGCCCCAAAAGTTTTGAATTATGCACAACTGCCCACCTCTTTAGGGAAATGCTTAGATTTGCCCTTGTATTTTCAGAAATAGTTATATTTAACCTTCGTTATACTTTCGGAACAAATATATTCCTACAATTATACATTTAGAACAACCATACACCTATCGTTAACAAAGTTATTTAAAAACTTAACTCTAAATTGATGAAATATAGTACACATTGAGAATGAGATAACAATTTCGAGATAACTAATTTTAATATAACTTGTTTTCAACGAATTGAGTCATAAGAGAAAAGAGAGTGAAACATTATGATTATAATCAAATCCTATATAGTCTTTTATGAATTTATTTTATTATTAATAATAAATATACATTTATATTTTAAAATTATAACTCAACTGACTAATGAAAAGTATGTTATAAGAAAAGCAAAGTGTAGTTAACTTTTAAGTTTAGAACTAAAATATACTCATTAAGAATTATTTTAGTTTTAAGCATCATATATGAAAAGGTTTACATGAATTTTATTTTTTATAGTATAGTATAATATGAAGGACTAAAACATTCATACACCCATATATTAAGGACCATTTGGATTATTTTCTTCTTGACAAACCACCATTCATTTGTTGATTGATGATGTTGATGTGCAAAGGGGTATGGCCAAGCAGCTCATCCGTTGTTCTGTTGCAGACACCAAATGGACACAAATCCTTCAAAACCCAAGCTAGCTTTTCTAGCTACCCTCTTGCCAGCAAAGTTATGGTTAGAAGTAAGCAATTTACTCCCTCTTCCTTATATTTAACATTTAATATCAACAACTGTACTTTATCCCAAATGATAGGAGATAATCTACATATTTGTTTTACTAGGTTAAGTTAACTGGATGAATTTTATTCAATATATGAGCTAACTTAACTTCAAAAACTAGTTAATGAAAAGACTTTAACAGGATGGACCTGACTCTCATATATGACACCTGTGTTTTTTTTTTTTTGGGTTTCCATGTTCGGTAGCCACATTGGAGCCCGACTAAATTCACACACATGTCTTTTTTTTTCTTTTTTTGGGTTTCCCATCCGGTGTCCGGCACCCACATTGGAGCCCGAGTAAATTCGGATTTGCGCCGGAAAGTCCCACGTTGGGGTAAAACGCTCCCTAACAAAGGCGACTCCGTACCCAAGGGGCTTGAACCCGAGACCTCTTGGTTAAGGATGAATGAGTACTTACCGCTCCACCACAACACTTGTTGGTGACACCTGTGTCTAACTCAACCCCAAAAGCTAGCTAACGAGAGGACTACTGCGATTGCTCAACTCTATATAACCATACCACCAGTTCATTCTCCGACAAATGTGAGACTCTAACCCACTCTAACATTTTACTCTCTGTTGGCCCAGATTTACTTCCCTGCACAATGTTGTTCCTACTGGAAAAAGAGAAGGTGCTTGTTAAACTAGAGAACACATCTGAAAGATGACATTAGCTTCGTACTGGTAGCTAGCATCAGATTGAAAGTTTACAGCTTGAATCAATAATACGGTGTCTACTATCTATGTGTAGTGTGGATGATAGTTTTTGAACTTGTCTTCGTTATATGTTTCATCCATGTCCTATAAAAGCTAAACTTTTAAGACTTTTTGAAGCTTGGATACAACATCTGTTGGTCATAGCTGAAAAACTCTATTGACTTTGTAGTATCTTTTCCAAGAAACGGTGGGCGGAACTTAAATCAAAGAGAGAATTAAGTTTGTTTAGGATCTCTATTGGTGGAATTTGTTGTCGTCTGGGTACTGCTTGACACTAGTAATGTACAACCCACATTGCTTGCTTGTTATTCTGATCAAATAGTGATGTAGTAACTAGTGATAAGCTATGTTGCTTGAACTCTTCAAAAATGTTGACAGCTGCGTGTCCGATTCTCCAAAAATAGTGTATTTTTGAAGAATCCGACACGGATGTTGCATCAAAAGCAAAGAGTTCCGGAAACTTAGGTGATAAGCCTCATAAAATTGTATGCTCCTTTATACATTATCTTGACTCTGCATTATTGTGATAATACTAACTAATAAACCTCTTAGGAGTTTATATTTATTTATTTTTTTGAAAATAGTAATGTTAGGAGTTTATATTTCTTTATGTCATATCTTGTCTCTGCATCCTGGTACTAGTAAAAACTAGACATTGCAACATTGTATATGTTGATTGGCCAGATGTATTTGGTAAGACCATCGATCTATCGTTGTAATGATTCAGGATTTTGAGGTTTTACTGCCTATGAAGTGGTGGCATTTTTCTGTTTCACATAGATGATAAAAGCTAGTGATGCTCTTCAATTATGGTGGTGGTAGAATGTTAATTTTTATCAGCTGCTTTAAACTTCATGATTTCAAGTCTACAATTATGCTGCTTCCTGTTGAAGAAGTTGCTCGAAGACGCTAGATCTAGACATTTACGTGGTTCAAACCGTGCTTCCGGCTGAATAGAATTCAGATGTTTGGTCCGAGTAGTTATGATATTTGATGAAAAGTAAACACTTCATGTTATTGGGTAATATCCCACTTCTTGAGCTTAAAGGGCATGAAATTAAAAAGGGGCTACAGGCTTGTAGTGATTCAGCTAGTCATTATTTCAAATATACAGCACCTGGCTATACTTCCCGCTATAGTTGGCAAAGAAGTAAAATAGTGATATTAGAAAGCAATTCCTATGTAAAATGCATTCTGACTAACCTTGACATTCCAAGGTAGTAAGAAGAGTACTGTTAACTGACTACTGAAAGCAGTCACTGGAGATTTTTGCTTGTAAAAAATCAGAAAAAAAACGAGGAAAAATAGAAGAACGAATGAGGTTATGTAGAAGGAGATAAGTATCTCCATGTAATGCTGTTACTTTCCCTTTAGGAACTATGTGTTCAGTATCATTTTAGCGAGAAAATGTTGACTTCTTGTATTGTAAACTTGAAGGTTTTCTATTTACTAATATACATATACTGGAAACTTACTTAGTGCTGCTCAATGAAGAGTCCAGAATTTTCCTCTTTGATGCCTCTAAATGATAGATTCCATATTTAACTAAGTTAAAATCCTTCCTTAAAGTATTAAGCTATCATTGCACTAATTATTGTTCTCCATTGACCAAATTGTAGATGTAATGAATGTCATGTTAAGATTTTTTTTCTCTTTAACCCTTATGCTACAAGTTCAGAATTCACTTTCTGTCTTAGATATATCGATCACATGCTTTTCATTCAACGGTTGTGGTTCTCTCCTAAAGTTCCAAAATTTGTGTCTTATTTTTGAACCATAGATCTATCATACTCCACTGATGAAAGTTGTCTGGAGAAAATATTTTCAAATTTTGGTCATGTTGCTGAAGGTATGTACCGTTGCTTGAAGATAATTTTTCTTATCTATTCTACTCTTTCTTGTAGTTGAGATTGTGACCTGTATTTTTTAATGTATCTACATCCCTTACCAGTTAAGATTGTGAAGGATGAAGTGACTAAGAGATCAAAGGGATATGCTTTTATTCAGTACACTTCTCAAGAAAATGCCATGCTTGCTCTTGATAGCATGGATCACAAGGTTATACTCTATAAATTTGTTTTGGATTTTTAATTCCCTTCACAGTATGTCTTCTTCGTCACGTTCTCTCTTCCCTTGTCAGTACATCAATGGCAGGGTTATATTTGTGGAACTTGCAAAGCCTACAAAGAAAGACTTTGGCAGATACCCGAGAAGTTGTGGACCACCTGTGGAGAGATTACCATCTGAAAATGAAGTTCCAGACCTAAAAGAAAACTGCTAAGGTAATGTTTACGCTAGTGTTAGAGTGGCAATCATTGATAGGTGCATGACAGTTCCACAAGTCATCATTCTTGAAACTACTGTGATGCAGCTTTGGTTCGACTTGATAAAACTTCTATTGCGTAAAATTTCACTCTTAGGTCACTCCTACAGGTTACAGGACTAGTTTACTTGTTCTGTCATCGCATTCTGTGTTTTGCATGTAAACTTCACACACATATATATTGTGTTTGTTCTATTAGGCATGGCGCGTTGCATGTCAGTCCAGGTCAATTACTTCATACTAGAAGAGGCTAAGTGTACTTCCGGTCATCTTTCAAAATCTGTACTTAGAATCATGTATATTAAATCGCAAGACTTGTGCTTTCTCAACTTGATGTAACTAGTTTGATGGTCAGGTTCTGCTACTGTATATGTATTTTTAGCTTTTACGCGGTGAAAATGGACTATCATGATGTACTTTAGGCTGCTGCCAAGGGTCTGGAAGTTGCCTGGAAATAAAGGATTCAAAAATTACTATTTTGTCGAAATTTACCTTACATGCATGTCTTAACACTCCATTAATTGGAACATTAAAGGGTAAATCTTGAAAAAACTACATAAGTGACTTCTCGGTTCTCTCAATCGTCAAGTATTTTGAAATAAATTCAGTTTTGCCAGAACGACTAATATTTGGGATCGAATGTATTCAAGTGAGTTATTTTTCTATGATGGATGATGGAACAGTTGAGTGGGGCTAGAAAGGTTAGCATCAATAACTTGTGAGTCACAAGTTTGTGACAAGGACTTGCTTGTTGCATTATAAGCTGTTTTTATGTGTAGTTTATTTGTAATTGATTGGATTTCAAAAGGATATTGTTGATCGTAATAATATACCCAATATAATTTTATACGAGTGAGGCTTTGGGAGGATAAAGTGTATGCAGATTTTATCCGTCTCTCTTGGAGGTAAGGAGATGGTTTTAAAAGATCCTCGTGCTCAAGTGTAAGAAATGAAAGTAACTATGAAAAAGGAAATACAACTACGAAGTGGACATGTCACTTGATTAGAAAATGAATACAATATTCAACTACCTACATGTTTTCTCTCTGATCCACGACCTCTAATGTCGTGTTTTCTATTTTATTAAATTATGTCATACCTTATCATTTTTCTCCGATACTTTTTTCGACCTACATATCCTTCATTGTTGTGTTGGTCAACTTTAATTTAAGGCTAAATACATAAACAGATTCCTAAACTTGTTGAATTTTTTCCCTTATGTACTTCAACTACGTTATTTTTTAATTGAATCATTGAACCACCCATAATTTGTTTCTTTAAACGCTATTGGTTGATTTTGATCAGCTTTTCTATTGTAAATGTCTTCAATTGTGTTCGAATTGTAATAATTTTGATTGAAGGAATGAAGACAAACCGTGTTAGTCTCATTTGTTTTCTAATGTGTTCAAATGACTTAAGTAAAACATAATTATTCTCAAACATTTTCACCATCAATTGTACTAATGATTAGTGGAACAACATATGTATCCCCTATCAATACCTCTCACAAATCTGGTTCCACATCAGACAACGGTGTTTGTTTAAACGGAAGAAATTATGGGGGTTCAATGATTCAATAAGAAAATGACATAGTTGAGGTACCTGAGGAAAACCCCCAACAAGTTTAGGGATCTACTTTATGTATTTGATCTTAATTTAATCAAAGCTATCTATTATGACCAAGACATGGGGATACCATGCCTACAATGTGGAAGCCCAACAAGTTGAACGACTACTTTGAAGTATTATTTATGAATATTTTTAGAATATTCTTCTGAAGCTTCTTCTTTTTTTTCTTTTTTTTTTTTGGTCGTAGCACGTTCTGATTTAATTATTTTTTTGAATAAATATATGAATACTCCACGCTTGGAAAATACTAAGAAAAATATCTTAATTTATAAAAATATACAAGTATTTATCTAAGCATATTTTATCTCCTTTTGAAAAGAATGTTACACTTAATTAGCTCTTCATCTTTTAGGTTGAAGTATGATTTTGAGAAATAAGTAATTAATATCAAGGATAAAATTAAAAATAGAGTTTTGTTTTTCTAGGTAGAAAGTTAATATTTTTTTTAAAAAAATAATGGAGAAGGGAGTAGTTATTACATGAATTAGTGCCACATATTTCAATGTCAAATAATTAAAGAGAAAGTTATACCTTACATTGGTCCCTATCACACGAATATTTACCTTTTGAATTACTTATTCAATAAATATTTACCTTTGGAATTACTTATTCAATAAATATTTACCTTTGGAATTACTTAGAAAAATCAAATACTTTCTTAATTATTGAAAAAATCATTAGTCTGAACCAAATTAAATAAAACTTATTGAAAATAAATGCAATTTATTTTTCTGAAATAAAACTTTAATGTTTCGAAAGTTACATAAAGGTACAACAAAATGGAAGTTCTTAGTTCTCAGTATCCATTGTATCAAAATATTTATTATTTTTATGAAAAATAATTTTGAAATACACGTCATTCTAAAACTTTAAAACAATATTTTTATTTTATATTATCCTTAATAATAATTATTTTTAAAAACTACAAACACTTCAATATTTTAGCACATAAATAGAATAAATATTTAATAAAAATAAAATAATTAAATACCCCTCTTAATTATTTTTTTATAAAAGGACATGTAAATAAAAAAAAACACAATAATAATTTTAAAATAAAAGAATAATTTAACTGGATATTAAAATTTAAAAATTATAACTCTCTCCAAGAGAATACTTATCTTGTTACAAATGGGATATCTTCTTCTCATGATTCAAGAGGGCTCTTATCTCAAGATGTTAAATGCATGCGCTAGACCTACAATCAAATTTTTTTTTTTTTAAAAAAAAAAAATCGCGATCGATTGATATTTATTTTAAAATAATAAAATAATATTATAACATGAAATAAATTATTATAATTTTATATTAATATTTAGTCACAGATCAACACAACTTCAACAATCCTAAGTATATTAGTAGTTTTATTTCTTAAACTTCTTCCTGTTTGTAAATCGTTATTAAAATTTCTTTATCTTAATTTTTTGTAAAATGTCAGAATTAAATTATTAAAAGCTAATTAAATGTCAGTATGAAATATCAACACACATATAAACGATATAATATGATTGTTCAAGTCAAATCTTCTTGGCTATAACTATAAATTCTAAATATAACTAATACATATCTTCCTATTTTTTTTCTAAAAATCGAAAATATATTGCAATAATATATTTAAATAACGAAATAATGATATTATTTAAGTCAAAATCTCCTTTGACGGTAACTACAAACTCCAAATATAACTAATAAATGTCTACTATGTTTTTCTAAGAAAAGCAAAAAAGCTGCAATAATATATGTCAATTTTACGTGGAAACACAAACTTAATTCACATTATCTTCCTCCTAAACCTTTTTTTTTTTTGAATAATTATATAAAAGCTTTGATAAATTTGGATTTTGATGTATGAGGGGGCCCCTTTTGGACCCATAAAGCCTCGTGTTAAAATAAGGAGAAATAAACTAGGACCCCCACAAACCACGAGGCTTTTTTCAAATATTCATTTCCACTCCATTTTGTCAATCTTTTAATTACTCGTTCCATTTTATATGAGATAGTTTAACTAGATATAAAATTTTAAAAAGAAAAGATGATTTTCAAAATTTATGGTTCACAATAAATCATAAAAAGATATAATAGATATTTTATGGTAAAACTGTTACTTAGGGATGGACTTAGAGTCTACCGAGGGGGTTCACCCGAACTCTCTCGATAAAAATTTATGTTATATATTTAAGTTATTTTAAAGATTTTTTATGTTTATATATTGCTTTTGATCCTTCTGAATACAGAATTAGAGGTCGACTTAGTGTTTGAAGAATTCAAACCTCGAATCTTTAACACCACTCTTCTTTTCGAATCTACTTAATGAAAATTTTAGGTCCATCTAATATAAAAATATATCTTTCTTTTTTTAAAACTAACTAAAATAACAGTAAGTCACGTAAATTGAGATAATATTTTCGATTTTTATAATTATTGAAATTGATTTTAGAGAAATAAAACTTGTTAATTATTATGAAACCGTGGGAGTAGTAGTCGGCCGTGTTTTGTGTGTGTGGCAGAGGAGTGATGGGTGTGGGGTGGAGAAGAAACAAAAGAGGTTAAATATAAGAAGACTTTTTTTTTTAAAAAAAAAATTACAATTTAAGCGTTACAATTGTATTTGGAGAAGAGAGAGAGAAGAGAGAAGGGCGATAATACTATAGTAATGGAGAATGGAGGAGGAGGAGGAGAAGATCCACAATTAGAACCACCACCACAGCCGCAGCGACGGTTGAAGCCGATCCCACCGAATCCACCGCCAACAGATCGGCCGGCTCGTATTTACGCCGACGGAATCTACGATCTCTTTCACTTCGGACATGCTCGCGCCCTCGAACAAGCTAAGAAACTGTATGTTTTCTCCTATTTTCATCCGTCGTAATACTCTATATATGATTTTTAGAATCATTAATTGACTTTTATTGTGAAAATTTCATGCCTTTTATATTCTCTATTGTGATGCTGGATTTCTGAGTGATTGTGAGAGGGATCCAATGAGATATCTGCTTGATTTCTTCTCACGTAGGTAAGCAAGACTAGGTGAGAAGACTTATGTGTCGGTGAAAGAAGAAAACCAAATAGGTGTTTGTCTAAGTTGTTGTTTTTTATTCTTATTGGAATATTATTAGTTGTATGATTGTAGAGGCATGAAGAATTTGTGAAATTGAACATACTTTTACTTTAGACTGAATTATTCATTGCCTAAATGTAGATTGCCTAACGCTCAGCTTCTTGTTGGATGCTGCAATGATGAAATCACTCACAAATTCAAGGGAAAAACTGTTATGAATGAAAAGGAGCGATATGAATCTTTGCGCCACTGCAGGTTGGTTTTATGGGGTTGTCAATTATGTTTTAAGTTTAATGTTTTTCCAGTCAGAGCATAATAAAATGATCTTTCTTCGTGAAATGATCTGAGTATATCTAATTGCCGGGGTTAGATTCATTCAGTTGTCTGATGTCTTCATAGTACATTTACAAATATATGAAGTTATGTTTTCATGTAGATGTTTCTTATATTGTGTTTATTGAGGGTAACTTTGATTTTTAAAATGATTGTAGTTGTTTGTTCGTTTTCCTTTCAGTTGTGAATGAGATGAATAGTTGAGGTAGTTATTTTGTATAAAAAATGGCTGTTGTTGTGACAAATAAGAGACACAAGGATGAGAGTAATATAGCATGTGTGAAGATCATCTTTTTATAAGATAATGAATTTCATAAGGCATCAAGAAGATGCAAAATTTACGGAAGGTAGAAAGTAAAAGACATTGTTAGCTATATTAAAAAGTAAAAGGGAGGCCATCGTGTTGGGATTACATTGCACACAAAATCATTAAATCTTTGGGGAATCACATCGATTCAAGATTCAACTTGGCTAGTTCAAACTCATATATTGATATATGTGTTGGAACCAGCCAAATTGAATCTCGAATGGATGTGATTCCCCAAAATTTTAATGATTTTGTGTGCAATGTAATCCCAAAACAATGGCCTCGCCTTCTGCTATGTAATATAGATAACAATTTAAATTGGGAAGTGTACCAACATTTAATTCTGGGAAGACAAATGGTTAGGGGGATCTACCCTAAAGAATGAATTTCCAAGCTTGTATCAGATAGCTCAGAACATAACTTTACCATCTCTCAGAATTGGCAAAATAACTGCTGGCAAATACAGTTCAGGAGGAATATTTAAGATTGGGAACTGCCTCACCTTATAGAGGTATGGCCTAAATTAGAACACTCTTGTCAAGTCATGTATTACTGACAACCTAAAATGGAAGGATGGTCCCTATTCAGTATCGGGAGGCTTTGCTCATCTATGCTCTCCTACAATGAGGTAATTGATAGATGGCTCTGGAAATTAAAGCTTCTCTCAAGATCATATGTTCTAGCTGGACAGCTTTACATGAAGCATGCCTTGCATAGGATAAACTCTACAGAAGGAAAATTCAGAGTCAGTAGATGCTTCATATGCCTAATCAAATTAGATCCCAATCGACTTCTCTTGCTTCACTTCACAATCATCACAGATATTTGGGGCATGTTTTTCTCTATTTTCGGTCTTAAAGCATAAAAGAGGCCTATGAACGCTGGTCTAAATCGAAAGTTGATTAGTCCATCGCAGATGATTCCTGCCTTATCTTTTGAGGACAGAAAAGAATTATAGATGTTTTTATGGGATTTCAACACCTACTTATTTTCTGAAGGTCTGTTATGGTTGTATAGTTTGCAGAATCTCTCCCCTGTAAATTGTCCTATTAATTTTTTGAACTTCATCAGCTCTTTAGCATTAGCTTAGGCTTTGTGGCCTATGGCTGATTATCTTTTGTGCTTCTGATCAATGTCAAACGGATTGGTAGAAGAAATGGTGAGAAAGACAGAGACAGAAAGGAACTCAAAATATTTTTGAAGACAAAAGCAGTTATATTTAGAAGATCAAGATGAATCGTCTTTCTTTGTGCTATTTTTGGTGTACGGGATCTTTTTGATCATATATGGGACTGGATAGATTTAATAGGTGGCTTGCAAGTGACTGTCACATCAGGCTTCCCTTTTTTTCTCTTTCTGAGTTGTACATACAGTTCTCAGCCCTTGCCAGGTGCTGACTTTAGTATCAGTACAAGCCTGTTACCTTCCTTTTGGAAAAAAAAATGCCGCTTATGATGGTTCTAATATTGTAGCTTCTAATGGTTGATATCTGCCTTTATCTTTAATTTGTATGGTGCATTTTCAAGTAGGTTAATTGTGTATGCATTGTTGCAGATGGGTTGATGAAGTTATTCCAGATGCGCCTTGGGTTGTAACCCCAGAGTTCATTGAGAAACATCGGATTGACTATGTGGCACATGACGCTCTTCCGTAAGGCAAAACGGCCCACAAAATTTTTACTTCTGTTGATTTGCATAAGCGTCCCTGTTTCCTTGGAACTATATTTGGACCAGCTTTTGATATGCCTTATCTGCTTATTCATTATTTTACTTTAAGATGGATTTAGCTTTACATAACTAATTTAAGGTCTTCCCCCGTTGTGTGATTTTGTTTTATTTGTTCGTATTGTTGTTTCATTCTGGGTTCCGAGATATTTTTTCTTTTAATTTTTCGTCTTCTTGTCTGTACACGTCAGTTATGCGGATGCAAGTGGAGCTGGAAATGATGTTTACGAGTATGTAAGTCCAAAATGAACTTCAGTTTATCATACGCGACTTTTACCTTGTTCATATGATGTTTCTGTTAAACAATTTAGTTTGTGTCTGTACAATGTTTTTGTGTGCATAAACCGGGGTGATTTGCAAATTGTTCATCTTTTTAATATGCTGTATGAAAGTCGGTCTTTATTTACTTATTTTGCTCATTGTTGATCCGTTTTAATCAGTGTAAGATATCTAGTTTGATATTCACTCTTTAATGCCTACTTTAATGCCATTGTGTAATGTGAATATTTTTAAAACCTGTGTTATTAGGTTAAGTCCATTGGTAAGTTCTTGGAGACCAAGCGGACTGATGGAATATCTACTTCAGATTTAATAATGAGGATTGTAAAAGACTACAATGAATATGTGATGCGCAATTTGGACAGAGGATATTCAAGAACGGATCTTGGTCTGAGCTACGTGAAGGTATACTCTTTAGTGTTTTGATTTGGTGATGTAGTAATACCTTACCTTTCTGAGGAAAGAATTGTTCTTGTTTTGCAAATGCAATGAAAAGAAAAAGGGTGCTAATTGAATTATGTAGACTTTCTGCTACGCGACAAAAAAAATAAATTATGTAGACTTTCTGCTAGCATTAGTTTTTTTATTCCTCACTAATAATAGTAGAATCAATGGCGCAGAGTCAAAGATTACATTTTCTTTCATTATTTGCTTTGCCAGGTATTAACTTCATCATTGCCTCTTTTAGGAAAAAAGGCTGAGAGTGAACAGGGGTTTGAAAAAGTTGCATGAGAGAGTAAAGAAACAACAAGAGAAAGTGGAAGAGAAGGTATATTCTTAAGTATTTGTCTGCTTTTCATTTCTCTATTTCGAATACAAACTTGTCAGAAGAGTCTCCAATCTCTATGGAATATGTGGTTTTTGAATAAAGTTTGGCAATTATCTGGAAAAAGCAAGGAAAAAGGATATTGAGATCTATGTCTTCTGTCATTTATGCAAATTATTTTTTTAAAAAGAAGGTAACCATATTTTATATAACCTAAAGAGTACATAGAGAAACATAGTTACAGGAACCCCCAAAAAAACATAAACCAATCACTTAACTAGTTACAATGACCCAATAATGTCAACTACATAATCTCTATATCTTCTGCTAGGCCTTCCTTACACCGAAAATTTGAAACAAAAATATATAAGAATATATTTTTAGTCTTCCGTTGAGTCGGCTACATCTTCAAAACACCACAGTCCACACGTTCCTTTTCTTTCCTATTGTCCACCAGATGCACATAGGAATAATTCTCCACCATCTCTTCTGCCTTACAAAATTGTCTGGACCATTCCAGCATGCTAGCAACTCAGCAGTTATCTTAATTATCCATTTGAGCCTTTCTATACTCAGTAAGAGCTGTACAGATTACAGGTAACTTACATGCTAGCAACTCAGCAGTTTTCTTAATTATCCATTTGAGCCTTTCCATACTCAGTAAGAGCTGTACAGATTACAGGTAACTTTGCAATGGATAAGTAGGTGGCTACTTGTTTCATTCATTATCCATCTGAACCCTTTCATACTCGGTAAGAGCTGCTTCAGAGTAGTGGTAACTTTGCAATGGATAAATAATAGATGGCTCTTTATTTCATTTTCTCTCCACATAGAAGGCATTTAGAACACATAGAAATATTGTGCAAATGACACTTTGAGCAATGAAGGGTAGCACGGGAAGCAATATGATGGTATATAAGGTAAGGTTGAATTCGAGGATACAATTGAATTGCCTCTCTACCTCACAAAGGTAGGCAGTAGGGGTAAGGTTTGCATAGACCCTACCCTATCCAGACCCCACTGGTGGGACTATACTGGTATATTGTTGTTGTTGTGGTGGTGAATATTATAAAGTGGAGGTGACTTGGTTTAACACATCCTACAATGGAATATCAACATTATATGTCAATGTTAGGTGTTCTAATCTTTTATCATCGCTGTGCAACTGACATGTTCTTGTAGGTTCTCGTATTATTAGATCCTTTATATTTAAAGCTGACAACATTTACATAAGGTCAAGTTTGTCCCCAAGGAGATGAATCATTTGTATTATGTCATGCATGCATAGGAACTTTTGGATACAAAACAATAGCTAACCACATTTTCATATCAGCTATATTAGCCTGGATCGATACTTGTGCATTTAGTTGCTATTTCTTATGAGTAGGGTGATGTCCAACCACTTTTAGAAGCATAAGTAGATATCTTTGCCGACCGAATTGTTTGTTTTAGTAGATGGATGGTTCTTTTGTTTAATTCAAATCTGGTGTGGTTTCATTTGTTGAGAAGCCTGGAGCTTTTAATTAGTATAAGTAATTTTCTCAGCCTATAATGAAGTGTTCATGAAATTTTGTGGTTTGCTTCCCCATTATGATGTGGCTCAGTTGATAGTAAACAAATGTATTTTTTTTAATAGGGATAGTTTATATCTTTATTTCTATCATTGAGCTTGCATCCGATTATGGTTAATGTTGTGTTGCAATGTGTACTACCTTCCGGGTAAATTTTCCTCTTACTATTCTACTAATTACTACTCCCTCTATGTGACACTCTTTCCTTTTTAGTTTGTCCAAAAAGAATGACATCTTCCCAAATTTAGTAAAATTTAACTTCAAACTTTCCATTTTATCCCTAGCGAAATGATTTATTGCCACGTAAATTTCTATAGGTTAAAATCTTCCTTTTAAAAAAAAATGAACTTGAAGCTTCCTTTTAGTCAAATGCCTTCACATAAATTGGAAGGAACTGCCAACGCAACCAAACCCCGTTCTTTTATATTATTTGTTGGAATAGATAGTAGATATATGATCGGATGCATAAGTTGGTAAGGGCTGTTTAGAGTTGGACATAAAATTACTAATTCAAATTGAAATGTACAATGATTGGGGAAATTGGAACGGGTGGAGTATTATTTCCGATTCGTTATAGTTTATCACCTTGTAGAATTTGGGTGGTGGAGATGGTGGGAGTCGCAATTATCTGGACTTTTGAAGAGTGAGCTGAAGTGCTAAACTATGTAGACGAAGCTACTTCTCATCTTATATGCTAGGTTTCTGAGTAAAGGAAGCTGTTTCTTCTCCATTGATTATTCTCACTATGTCTTTTGTACTCAGTGTTACCAAAAATAGAGCAGTATGTAGCAGTTCTGATAGCTTTTTCGTAATTTAATGAATTAAACATAAGACGGATGCTTGTCGTCATTGAAGAACCATCACTTTAAGCTATTTCTAGTCTTCTAGCACAAAACACGCTAAAAAAGAGTACCTGTTGCAGATACAAACAGTAGCAAAGCATCGAAATATTTGGGTGGAGAATGCTGATAGATTGGTTGCTGGTTTCCTTGAGATGTTTGAAGAGGGTTGCCACAAAATGGTAAGATCTCTGTGCTGCTTTTCCCATCCCTCTCTTTTCCTCTTCTCTTATCTGGTGTTCAATCCCCTAGGGTTTTCCAGTAGCACCTCCCACACACGAATGAGAGTGGTTTATATTTGCACTTCTGATGACACATTGAAATTTCAACAGGGAACTGTCATAAGAGACCGAATTCAAGAACAGATGAGGACCAAGAGTATAAAAGGGCTTCTATATGACAAAGAAGAGGATGATGATGAATATGACTACTATTACGGGAGCAGTGACGATGATGAAGAATACTACGATGGTGAAGATGAAGAATAGGGTTGTTCACTTTCTCATGTTATGTGGTGATGTAAAATGTAGTTTATGGATCAAGTTGGATGAAGATGTATTATGTCCTAACGTTTGGATGCGCGTGTGATATGCGTGTTTTATTTTGGTAGAATGTAGTGGCAATTAGTTGTGTTGTAAACCGTGATCAAGCATAGTCTTGTACCATAACGCTGTCAATCAGAGTGATTTGTCTAAATATGTTCTTGAAAATTCTATTTTATTTTCCTCTTTTGGGAATTGATACAGCTAGGACCGAGTAGATGTATTTATACACGGTACATGTATTAATGAATCGCGATGCACTAAAATTTTTATTGATGGGGTCAAATATCTTCTGGCAAAATGACTTTATGCTCTCTGTGTCAGCATGGTTTTTTTCCGTTCAAGAGGATTACTTATATTATAATATGCTAAGGCATAATTAGTGATTGTTCTTAATGATTTTTTTAATAGCTACATTAATAAAAAGTCAAAACTCTCATTTCGTATCACAATACTGAAATTATTAGATATTCCGGTCATCTTTGTGTGTATGAATTGATGTGACAAAGTATTTGGGAACTTGCTGAGAGGTGACTGAAAGATGAAATCATTATCGAAACTTGGTGATCGAGATTGATGTATGCTTTAATGATATAAAAAAATTGATGTATATCAAGTGCATTATTTAGGTGCTTAAATTGTATATTTAAAAATTGAGATTGATGTATACTTCAATGATATAAGTTGATGTATATCAATTCTGTGAAGACAAAATATATTATTAGGTGCTTAAATTATCAAGTACTGGGAAGACAATGCATCATTTAGGTACTTAAGTTGTATATTTATGCTTTTTTTTTTCCAATAAGGAAGTAAAACAAAGTAAAAGAAAAATATTCATACCATAATTGATTGGCTAATTTCCTCAAATAATTATATTTTCTAAATATCATTACTCGTTTGGTTTGATGTGTATATATATATATTTCCTTCGTCACATTTTTAGTGTCATCCTAACTTAAAATAATTGATATATTAAAAAATGAAGATTCAAATTATTGAACTATACCTTTAATTAGGTATGGGCATGAATACAATGCAATAGAATATATTTAATTTTTTGAATTCGGTTTTATGATATTTTGATTTGGTGTCAGATTTTGATTTTTGAAAATTCAGTTATTTGATTCTATGCAAGGGTCGTCACTTTTTGGTGCACCAAAAAACTGAAATTTTATTATAATAAATTTTAAAATATTTATATTAATTATAAATTTTTGACCCAACCCATATCCGATTTTAGCCCTACTAACCTATGTGTATTTGGAGCCCTAATTCCTAAATCAAAACTCACAGGCCACAGCCTCCAGCTCTCTCTTTTTTGTTCTCTGAACTCTCAGAGACACTGTGTCGGCGACCAGCAAGCACAGCGGCGCAGCAAAACTCTCGTCTGTCGACTCTCTATCTCTCAGCGTGACGGATTGTAAGCTACCTCATCTCCCATTAGTAATATTTAGTATGTATCTCTCGGTCTCTTTTCTCTGCCTACAGCAAAACAGCAAGCTAAATTTTAAGATATTTCTGTTGTTTTAAGTATTGAATTCTTGTGTTGAATGTTTTTGGGCTGGCTGCCTTGTTCCTGGTAATGTTATTTTATATTTGGATTGTGTTTCTGGCTTGCTGTTGCTGAAGTGTTTTGCCAAGTTAGAATTTTTTTTTTTGTGACTGCTAAGCAACTTGCTAATTGGCATGGCTGCTGCGGTGCTGGCAACTGGTTAGACTATTATGTGCAAGTGAGCCGTGCTGTACTGCTCCGAGCCTGCGAGTGGGCTGCCTGCTATGTTAGTTCACCTTGAAATAGACCAAATTTAGTTCATAGTTTAGCCTATTAAGTTAGTTCATTGTTATAAGAGCAGTGCTAACTTATTACTTAAGTATTGAATGTTGATACTTGACAACAGCGAAGAATGCTAGGCTGTTAGGCTGAGAAGAGTGTTATAAAAAAAGAGACATTACGAGACTAAGAGCCTTTATTTATTTGAATTTTCATGTTAACTTTATAAGTTAAATATTTTGATAATTTTGTTCTCATTTGCACCAAAAAACCATTTTAAAAACACTGAACCGAAGTTTGGTTCGGTATTTGGTACACACTATTTCAAATCTGAATACCGAAGAACCGAACCGGATTTGATACAAGAAAGCAAATAAAGAAAAAAAAAGTAAGACAGTTGAATCTTCTAGCCTTAAACTAAAGATTGAAACGGACTGTACTGTTCCTTTTTATTTTTAAGAGTACTTATTAATTATCTTATTATTGCTAAAAAATGGTTGGGGGCCTAAGGCAAGTTCTCTATTTTCCAATGCATACAGCTGCCCCTGATTGTAAATGTGCAATACATGCAGCTGTTACCAGGCTTTACTAGTCTATGTCTACATAGAGATGTCAATGTGAGTTTGGAACCATCAAAATGAAAAGGACTAAATCCTAGAGTTAGAATCTTATCTTCTTTACTGTTTTGATTCATTAGTCTTTATGCTTTGTGTTTTTCTTTATCAGATCTAAATGAGAAAAAGAAATGGTTAGCTTAATTACAATGTGAACTAGCTCTGGAGATCAGTAGCTAATAGCTAAGTGTGATGTATGTTCATTAGATGCCATATAGGATCAGTAGTCTATGAACTATGAAGAGGTCAGTAAGATGAGTGATCAGTCTTGTTAAGCTTAAGTCTATAATTTATTTGAACTCTATTATGTTTCTGTTAGCGGCAGCCCCTTCATGTGGATATATTGTGTTTGTATGTCGTGATTTCCTCTAGTCTAGATAGTAAAGGTTTAATAAATTTCTATCAACAAGTATTTGACTAATCAGGGATTTTTGAATTAAGGTTCTTGTTGTATTCTAGAACTTTTAGTTATCTTGCCACCTTAAAATTAGCACAAAATGGCTAAAGAATCTTGTGTTGGCCTTCTTGTTCTCATTCATAAACTTGAGATGAAGTCTTGTTGTATATGTTTTCAGCTATAAGGTTGCTGTCCAGGAGGAATATCTTTAGCTCACTTGTAAATAAAGGGAAACCCCTTCCAGTATTAGCAACATCATCTTGTGAGGGGTCTAATTGTATTATGTTCAAGACTATTTTTGTTGAGTCTCTTATTCATGAAGGGTCTAAAACTTGTGATTTTTAACTGAAATAAGTACTAAGAAATGATTTAAGGATAATCAAAAACTTGTAGATGGCCTGTTTCAGCTATGTGTTTGCAAGTCTAGTTTCAAACTTGTTTAGCTTTCCTTCATGTTTATGCTTGAGTAGTTGACTAGTTGATCTGTGACATAAGAGGCTTATCATATCCCGTTATGTGGTTGGGTAACATCTGTCTCTTTGTTTATTTAAGATCCCCTTTAACTTGAGAGGAGTTTTATTTTTGTTCAAGAAAAGATCAAGTTTGTTCAAAAATAATGCTCTCTGGTTGTGTTTGTATTTTTAAAAATGAGAAGATTTGGCATTTAAGAGAATTGTCACTGCTTACTTGAGATTAATGGTACCCCTTCCTAGTCTTGAATGGCTTAAGTATGTTGAAAACTCACTACATGAGCCCCTTTTAAAGTTCTGAACATAGCACCCTTCTTTGTTTTTTAAGTTGTGAGTAAGAAGTACTCCCTCTGTCACCAATTACTTGTCCACTTTTGAATTTGCACACCTATTAAGAAAACAATAATTGACATAGTGAGTTTACCATATTACCCCTATTAATTATGAAGTGGATGAATTGAAACTTAAGACATTCAAGAAGTTTTTACCTTTTACAAAGTAATTAATTGAGGGTATAATAGGTAAAAAAAAATTGGCCTTTCTTGATTTGTCAAAATGGACTAGTAATTAGGGATAGAGTGAGTAGCAGTTTCCTATGCAATTATTTTTTTGCGATTATTTTCTTCATTTTACTGTTCATAAACCCATGATTGTTCAGGGACTTTTTTGCTCTGTTCGATGTGCTTACCACTTCCTAAATCCTGAATAATTAACCTTAGGATCATTAGTTAAGACTAAATCCATTAAGACTTTAGTGGTAATAATTTTCCAGATTGGTTTGGCCCTCCCTGTTTGTGCAGCAGCTGTCAGAGATCCATATCCCATTCTACGAGAGTTTTAGCTTGCCAAATCTCGACAGATTTATTCTTAACACTGTCCACTAATCTCTTTGACTTAGCTACTTGTTCACTTAGGAATCAAGAGGTATAAATTCTCAAGTGACTGTTTTACATTTATGCTAAATCTGTTTTGGGACCATGTTTTCAATATGACTTTTACTGCACTTGTTAAGTAGAGAGATGGGGAAGAATAAGAGCTCAAGGAAAGGGAAGAAGGCATGGAGAGCCAACATAAGTACGGAGGATATTGAAGATTTCTTTGACAACTCCACTAAAGATGCTCTTTCAGGCGGTTCTCTTGCTCAAGTTCCCAGTGACTCTCTCTTTTATGTCGACAAATCCAGAGGTATTCTATTTTTCAGCATTTTTTTCCCGGTTGAAAATTTCCAGAAGTATCTTTTGTTCAAGTAAATAGCAAGGTAAAAAAAAGAACAAGCCGATTTTGATATCAGGCTGGTGTTCACGTATATGTTCTAGCAGCTGATATAGTCTTTAGATGGATGGTATGTATGTGATTTACTGTTCCAACAGATGTATTGAACTAACGTTGGTTGGATAACTGGTTTACTCCACATTTGAAAATGGTATTTTCTTTTAACAGTAGTTTTTTGGTACACGGGAAATAACTGAGTGCTCTGATAATCTTCTCCAGAATTTTGTTTTGGTAGAATCAGTCAAGAGTATTGTGTACTAAGACAAGTAGACCAAATAATTCGGTATCTCATAGAGTTGTAATTATGGAAAAAATTCAATCTTGAGAGCAGATTGAACTTTCATGTCTGTTTTAGACTTGCAGTAATTGTTAGGGTGTTGCTTTTCAGTCAATGGTTCGTGTTCCCATCCAATTGTTGGCTGTAATATGAAGCCGGATGAATTTTGGAGATAGTAACTGACATTTTTGGACTAGAAGAGGGCAGTTTAGAATCACCTTAAGTACTATGTCTCTGGACTATGTAGCAGTTGATGTTCATCATGGGTGCATCTTCCTTTTCCCTTTACTGCAGTTCTGTCGTTTTTTGTTGGTGAATCCTTCTTCAGTGATCAAATGACAAGTTTTTATGTCTACAATCCAGATCTTTCTGTCAAACGGAAAATTGAAAAACACCG